GCGAGGCTGTCTGTTATTCCGCCCTCTTGGTTGATTGTTTGATGTGGATTGTGAAACTGTTCCTTGAGTTGGCGCATCTGGTAATGTAGGCCGAGGCTGTCTGTTATTTCGCCCTCTTGGTTGATTGTTTGATGTGGATTGTGAAACTGTTCCTTGAGTTGGCGCATCTGGTAATGTAGGCCGAGGCTGTCTGTTATTTCGCCCTCTTGGTTGATTGTTTGATGTGGATTGTGAAACTGTTCCTTGAGTTGGCGCATCTGGTAATGTAGGCCGAGGCTGTCTGTTATTTCGCCCTCTTGGTTGATTGTTTGATGTGGATTGTGAAACTGTTCCTTGAGTTGGCGCATCTGGTAATGTAGGCCGAGGCTGTCTGTTATTTCGCCCTCTTGGTTGATTGTTTGATGTGGACTGTGAAACTGTTCCTTGAGTTGGCTCATCTGGTAATGTAGGCCGTGGCTGTCTGTTATTTCGCCCTCTTGGTTGATTGTTTGATGTGGGCTGTGACCCGGTTCCTTGAGTTGGCTCATCTAGTAATGTAGGCCGTGGCTGTCTGTTATTTCGCCCTCTTGGTTGATTGTTTGATGTGGACTGTGAAACAGCTCCTTGAGTTGGCTCATCTGGTGATGTAGGACGCTGCTGCCTGCTGTTACCTTTTGGGTATGAGCTTGGCTGTACTATTCGTTCACCACCTCCTGGTGATGTGTATCTTATATTTAAACTTGGTTGAACTGGTGGAAATTGTCCATCGTTTTGGAAGCACCTCGAGACGTTGTAAATATAGTCACAAGCTTGTAACTCTTCATTGTATGCTTGCTGAAGGCCACACTCTTGAACATAGGCAACGTCATCAGCACATTGAACGAAGCTGGTGCACCTGTCAGGATTGGGGTAAACGCCATTTTTCACACCTGTGCAACTAAACGTCGTTTGTCCCGCAGGAAGAATATTCAACCCAGAATAGCATTCTGGTACTAAGAACTTATATTCACACAGCTGCGTCGTTTCACTGAATACCAAGCCATTCACACATCTACGTGCGTGTGTCTGACTTTCTGTGCATTGATAAAATAGACTGCAATCCGTTTCGTCACGATACAAACCATCAGCGATTTCTTTACAAGAAAACGTTGGGTAAGTCAGTACTACTTCTTCTGATCCAAAGCCCAGACACTCTTTTACCTTATGTGGATAATCACAAACAACGTGTTCCTTGTCAAAAACAAGACCATCGTCACAATAATGGACAGAAACACTATCTATTGATGAGCACTGGTAGAAATACCTACAGTCTTCTAGATTTCTATACCAACCAGGTTCTTTAAAAGAACACGTGAAATTCAGGTAATTTGGAAAGACAAATTCTCCTCCATATTGACCGATCACGTTATTATAGATGCCTGTATCGCAGCCTGGTACATTCTCTGGATAATCACACCCATGTACTACAGGATTGTATGCAAGTCCCGAGACGCAATGCAGCACAAATATTCTTCCTTCATAACACTGGTAAAATAGCCTACAATCACCATCACTAGGATATAAACCATCTGGTAAGTCCTGGCAAACTCTGGGCACTAGAGTTAATTTCTGAAAACCATCAGCATATGTTTGTTGGTATTCGGGCTGTGTGTTGTCTACTGGGCTCTCTATTCTAGGCCTAGCTGAGGTAGCCACATCACGAGTTGGGCCAGAGGAATAGGCTGGTGAATTTGGCGATTGCGGGCTGTTAGCTCGCCGAGTTGGTTGTCGCAGAGGTCTGTTATTTCGTCTTTGTTGATTTGGTCTTGTTTGTTGTGAATCAGTTCGTTGCAGTCTGTGTTCATGCTGCACTATGTTGGCGCCAGCTGGTCTGCGCTTGGCTGTATGTACTTATACGTCTTTGTTGATTTGGGTGATGCTGTTGGTGTTCGTGAATCAGATTCACTTGGTCGAGTTGTGTCTGACATGGCCGTGGCAATATGTTTGCGGCCGTGGCTGTGATTATTTCGTTCTTTGTTTGATTTGGTCTTGCTTTTGTTGTGAATCAGCGACATTTGGTTCTATTGAGAGTGGCTGGGGCCGACTCCCGGCCGCTAGCGATTAAGTTTCGGGCGTCGGCCTGCCTGTATATATTTAGTTTTTGTTGATTGTTGTTCTTGTTATGTTGTGAATCAGTTCTTTGCAGTTGGCGGCCCTCGATGCTGGAGATGATTGTTGGGACGGGGGCTCGCTGGTATATGTTAGTGCGTCTCTCTGTGTTGACTTCCGCTCCCGGCTGATCTTGCTTGGGTCAATCAGCTCTCCTTCAAGGTTTGGCTCATCTGGCATATTTGGGCGTGGCTGCCGGCTCTCACTCTCATTTCGTTTTTGGCTCTCGATGCCTGTGTCTGTTGTTTTGTTTCGTCTTGACGAATCAGTTCTTTTGAGTCGGCTTCGAGTACGGATCTATGGCTAGGGCGCCAGTGTGGTCTTTGTGTATTATTTCGTCTTTAGTGTGAATTTGGTTCGTTCCCTCTCTCTTGGTGCAGCATCCAGTATCTATTCGTGACTGGCGCTCATCTAGATATGTTCTGGGGCGGCCGAGCAGCGGCGCCGTCGCCTGTCCAGGGGGCGCCCACCGGCTGGTCGTCGCTGACCACAGGGGCGACAACCGCTCGCACGCCGTCACTCACCCGTACTGGTCGGCCGCGTGTCCGTCTATTTCGTCTTCTCGTCTCATCTTTGCGGCTCACTTGCGGTTCTCTGTTGAAGTGTAATCCAGTTCTTTGAGTTGGCTCATTCATGGATATGTTGGGCGTCGTGGGCGCCGCGTGCCTCTGTCTTGACTGTTCGTCGTTGGTTTGATTGTTGGTCTTGTTTAGTGGCTCGAATCAGTTCTTTGCAGAGCTATAGTGCGTCGGCGGCTATCTTGGAGTAGTGTCGTGGGTGGGCGCGCTCAGCCATCCGCTGCCTGTAGACGCAGCCAGGCGACGGCCGTGTATTCATTTCGTTCTTTTGTTGATTTTGGTCTTGTGTTATGTGTGGATCTAGTCTCCTGTCGAGTCGGCTCATCTGGATATGTTGGCGTGCAGCGCTGGCAGTTATTATTTCTGTCTTGTTGATTTGGCGTCTTGTTTTGCTGGTCGAGAGCCAGTGTCGGTGTCGTGTCGAGTTTGTAAACCTGTCTCTGGCACTCACCTCGTTGGCCGGTGGTGGCATGCTCTCTCTATAGTCTGTCCGCGATTGGCCCGCGTTGATTTTGCGTCTTGTTTGTTGTGAATCGAGTTCTTTCAGGTTGGCTCATCTGGATTATGTTGGACGTGGCTCTCGTGTTATTTCGACTTTGTCTCGCGCTCTCTTGTAGCTTACTTCTTGCTCGCCTCAATCGTCAGCGTCTCTCTTCCTCTCGGCCTCATCCTGAATGATGTTTGGGCGTTGGCTGTGTGTTATTTCGTCTTTGTTGATTTGGTCTTGTTTGTTGTGAATCAGTTCTTTGAGTTGGCTCATCTGGATATGTTGGGCGTGGCTGTGTGTCATTTCGTCTTTGTTGATTTGGTCTTGTTTGTTGTGAATCAGTTCTTTGAGTTGGCTCATCTGGATATGTTGGGCGTGGCTGTGTGTTATTTCGTCTTTGTTGATTTGGTCTTGTCTGTTGTGAATCAGTTCTTTGAGTGGGCTCATCTGGATATGTTGGGCGTGGCTGTGTGTTATTTACTCTTTGTTGATTTGGTCTTGTTTGTTGTGAATCAGTTCTTTGAGTTGGCTCATCTGGATATGTTGGGCGTGGCTGTCCGTTATTTCGTCTTTGTTGATTTTGTCTTGTTTGTTGGGAATCAGTTCTTTGAGTTGGCTCATCTGGATGTGTTGGGCGTGGCTGTGCGTTATTTCGTCTTTGTTGATTTGGTCTTGTCTGTTGTGAATCAGTTCTTTGAGTGGGCTCATCTGGATATGTTGGGCGTGGCTGTGTGTTATTTACTCTTTGTTGATTTGGTCTTGTTTGTTGTGAATCAGTTCTTTGAGTTGGCTCATCTGGATATGTTGGGCGTGGCTGTCCGTTATTTCGTCTTTGTTGATTTGGTCTTGTTTGTTGTGAATCAGTTCTTTGAGTGGGCTCATCTGGATATGTTGGGCGAGGCTGTCCGTTATTTCGTCGTTGTTGATTTGGTCTTGTTTGTTGTGAATCAGTTCTTTGAGTTGGCTCATCTGGATATGTTGGGCGAGGCTGTCCGTTATTTCGTCGTTGATTTGGTCTTGTTTGTTGTGAATCAGTTGTTTGAGTTGGCTCATCTGGATATGTTGGGCGTGGCTGTCCGTTATTTCGTCTTTGTTGATTTGGTCTTGTTTGTTGTGAATCAGTTGTTTGAGTTGGCTCATCTGGATAGGTTGGGCGTGGTTGTCTGTTATTTACTCTTTGTTGATTTTGTCTTGTTTGTTGTGAATCAGTTGTTTGAGTTGGTTCATCTGGATATGTTGGGCGTGGCTGTCTGTTATTTCGTCTTGGTTGCTTCGCTGATGTTGTCGAGCTCCTTACACCTTGGTTTGCTTGTTGTGAAACAGTCTTCGCATTTCTATTGTCGATACCAGTAGGGTAAGGTAGCTGTCGCGGCGTAAGCTGCGATTCAGTATTCGGGGACTCCTTATGCCCAGTCCTTACGATTGTTTCTTGTTGACGTTGAGTATTTGTATTCTGAAATGAAACTGCTATGTCGACAGGTTGAGCGTAAGTTGGTTTATGCTCCTTAGTCGGTAACGCAGTGCTAATCGAGCTTGTGTCTACATTGATTCGTTGACCCCGGCTTAACAAAAAAGGGCTTGATGTGCCCACTGATCGTGATGGTTCCTCCTCTGTGTGGTGTTCAACTAAATCTTTACGAATCGACGGTAGAGATTGGACTGAAACGTCTTGAGCATGCTGCGCCACCCTTGATTCCTCTTCTTGCTGTCTTCTACTAGGTGCACTGGGTTGGTTTTCTGTAGCCGCACCTACACAGGGAAAGCTATGTTTAGATGATATACCTATATGGAGCAATTATATTTATGAGGTAGGAGAAAAATTGAGAAGTAAATCAAATCAGGGACATGCTGTGACCTTCCATTCCTCTCTACGCCTCTTTTGTGACTTGTGCATGCGTCGAGAATTATACTTGTTTTTTTTGTTCTATGATTGTCAGGTAATTTGGAAGGAAGTTTGCATTGTTTTGAGTATCTAAAATACGATTTCCCTTTTAGGAACTGCTCTAAATGCCGAGGATAGGGATTATGAGATGTTAGCTACTTACACGAAGGAGGCGCAAACTCCGCCCCAGGCAGTTCTTTAGTCGCCCATAAATTTGTCGGTTCAGTAATAGACCTTTTCTCGCCCCATATGACGGGTCCCACCTGTCACAAGAAATTCAATAGAAACTGAACTGAAACATTTGTAATTTAGTGTATAAATATAGATTAGAAGTAAAACGCTCGTACACCAATGAAGCTATAAATGAAAATATATTAATATAAATAAAATCTTGCCAAACAAATTGTGTTTGTGCGTGCGTGCCTGCATGTGTGTGCGTGCGTGCGTGCATGTGTGCGTGGGGACACAACGTAGGATATTGCGGATTACTTACGGAAACATTTTCTTGAACAACGATGCGAAGCCATCACTGGGATATTCTTATACTTTCACACACACACACACACACACACACACTACACCCACACACACACACACACACAGCCTCTGCATGCACACCACAACACACACAGCGACACACAGCACACACACCACGCACACACACGTGTAGCGACCAGACACAGCCACACACACACCACACACACACAGCACACACCACACACACAGGGTCACAGCACAGCGGAGAGAGAGACACCACTCGCACACGCACACACACACACACACACACACACACGGAGAGAGAGACACCCACTCGCACACACACGCGCACACGCACACGCACGCACGCACGCACACACACAGAGACACAGGCACACACACACAGACACGCGCACTCGCACACGCACGCACACACGCACACACACAGAGACACAGGCACACACACACAGACACACGCAAACGCACGCACGCACGCACGCACGCACGCACGCACGCACGCACGCATGCACGCACACACCAACACACACGCGCACATACGTGTGTGTTACGTGCACGTCACGTTAAGTTACAATGTTTAAATTATTGAGTTCTGGTCCGTGAGATTTATTTGATATAAATCTACCCGTACATTAAGTCATTAATAATACACATATAACCTGTAAGTTCATAATTATATTTATGATTCTATCATATTATGTTTACGATTAAAGTCCCTGTCGTTCTATTAATTGAATAAATATGCGGATAATTCTTTGCTTACTATTGGCGACTTTCGCATTCGACTCCAGGCATCGGTGCTCACGCTCATGGGCTCATAACCATACCTGGCCGCCAGACAAGGTTTTGTGTCCATCGTGCTGCTGGTCCAATAGTTAAACGTTCCGTTTACGTTCAATGTTGCCTCTGATAAATCCTACGGATTAAAATTACTATTAGCATATCTATATTACAGGAGCTATAGTTGACAAAAGATTGTTTTCAGTTAGAATTACAGACGAAATGGCTGTAAACAAATGGCGAATTAGCTCAAAATAAATCGCCGTCGTCTACAGATTGCAGCTAATTATATGGATAACTGTGGTTTCATCGAATTATATGCAATAAAGATTTAATAATAACAATAATAATAATAACTAATTTTAAATAATGTTAATTTGATAACAGATATAGCTTTATTCTCGAGCGCTATGACATTAATTCTGGCTTTAAACAAATAAATGAATAAATAGTTATATAGTGTACGCACGAGCATATTGGTTTGAAGGCATGACACTGTTGCAATATTCGCCTGTGGTCGAAGTGTAAGCTGTATATCACTATCTTGAGCAGTACACGACACATCACATGTGAAGTTGACTGTCACGATCGTATGATACCGCAATCGCATGTTGTTCATTTGAAATAGCCACATCGGTGAAACTACGAAACCAAATCGACTCTCGTAGGGCTTTGTTCGGTTGGCACAAGAGTCCGTGTGGTCGTTAATGAGTCCAATATTTCCCTGTGTTTCCATGTAGACTCTAGTTTGGTTGACTGTTTTTGCGTCATTCTTCTGCGTCAGTCGGTAAGCGAGGATAGAACCAATGTAGATGGGACTGCCCATGACGTTTGCGGTCACTGTCATCTTATTGAGCATTTTTACGTTGTTAGATGACGTCTGTTTGCCGGCAAACATATTCGAGAGAACATTGTATCTAGCGTTGGGGATTCCAGCCGTCGCAACAGCAGAACAATGGCGACGCTTCTTGTAAGTGTTGATGTCGTAGGAGAACTGCTGGTCTGGGAAGCACAGGCCACTGAATGGTTGACCACCCCAGTTGGAGCAAGTAGAATCAAACACTGGCGCAGAGTCCGTAGATGCATAGCGCTTTACTCTTTCGTTTCCTGTCTCGAAAGTGCTTCCGTTACTGTTGTCGGCATACTGAACCGATGCGGATGGATTGATACCGCGATTACCCTGCCGTGAAAAATATACAAAGATCTGCTCTTGTATGCATGTATACATGGGAGAATAAGTTTGTTTCTCTTTCAGTAGAGTATCAATGGAGGTAGAGTCACGAGCGGAACAGCCGTTAGTCGTGTCATCCGTCAGCATCGTCATCACTGCCGCCATCTCCTCGCAGTTGGCATTTTCAAACAGTCTCCGAAAGATTTCCTGGGACTCTGTGCTGCACAATTGCTTTCTCATTGCATATATTATTGCAAACCTCACTGGGTTCCCTGCTTCGCATTTCTGAAACACATCCTGTAAAATACAAATAATTTTGCAATAATTATTCACGCAGTCGTGTAATCGATTATAATAGATGATCAATAATATCACTAGCTGATGTTATCATTTATTTAACTGTCTAGCATTCTCAATGTATTACATAGCTATGCATTAACTCATTAAGTCCATTGTCCTGTTTTGAACATTCTACATCAGCGGTGTATACTATATTGCTTATAATCAGACAAACTGGTATATTTGTCTTGTATGCAGACATTTATTAGACAAACCTGTAATCTATGCAGGGAGGCTGGCTTTCCAAGATTGCCGATCGCGTGGATGATGTCCAGACCACGTGCATGATCGCTACATATCGGTTCAATGTCATGAAGGCGACGAAGAAGAACTTGTTCGACTGCACTCGTTTGTTCTTCGCTAATCGACGGGCTTCCCGCGACAGCACCCAGCGTCAGCGTCAGATGTGCTGTGAGGTAAAGCCAGAATAGATAGGCAATTATATATAGATATGTATTATAATCTATCTATCTGTCTATCTATCTAGCTATCTATCTATATATCTATCTATTTATCTATCTATCGATCGATCGTGTGTGTGTGTGTGTGTGTGTGTTCGTGCGTGCGTGCGTGCGTGCGTGCGTGTGTGCGTGCGCGCGCGCGTGCGTGCGTGTGTGCGTGCGTGCGGGTGTGTGGGTGTGTGTGGGTGTGTGTGTGTGTGTGTGTGTGTGTTTGTGTGTGTGTGTGTGTGTGTGTG